GCGGTATACTCCGGCGTCTCAGTATACCGCGAGCTACAGCTCGCGGTATACTGAGCCTAGGGGGACGGGAGGACACTAGTTTGTGTCCTCCCGTTACCCTAAGGAGAACTATGGGGAAAACCCCTAACCCCATAGTTCTCCTTTTTTTTATCTTCTCGTGATGGACTACAATCTCCTGTTTAGTTTACTAATTTGTATGGAGATTGCAGTCCATCACGGGAGTGAGCTTGGAGCAGTGGTTACTTTACAACACACACAGGGATCATGTGGAACAAAAGCAGCCACCCTCCGGAAGGAAGGACAGTGTCAGAGATGATTTGAGGACCTACAGCGGAGCGATACACAAATAAGATACATTTTTGTTAATAAGTAGATATGATTTAAAAATTTTATGTGTGTTGGTTTTTTTTTTGGTTTTTTTTTACATGGACGTTTACTTTAAAGGGCTCTCTGTGTTCTTTCTTAAAGGTATCCTTTAATGGAGAAGTCCAATAGAGTGCCTCAGAAAAGGACTGCAACAGTGGTAGTGAAGGAGCCAAAAATGGTAAGTGTTTAAGGTTATGAGGAGAGGAACACATTCAGTAGAGGAAACTCCCTTATGTTGATTAGAATCTGTTTTTCTAATAACATCTCCATCCAAAACTGATTCTGTTCAGGTAGGGGGACAGGGCTTGATCCCTCAAAAGGTCTTCCTGATGTCCAGGAACCTGGTATGAGATCTCCTCCTACCCCAATCTTCCATGTTATACTGTCCCCTTAAAGTGGAAGTTAAGTGAAAATTAAAAATACTGACATGCAGGCTTAATACGACAGAAGAGAAGGGATGAATATATTCTCTCTTGCATCCTTGTATCTGAGTGTCAGCTGGAGGGGATCGCTCTGGCACGTAAATCTGCTAAAATGCTAGAATGAGATAATATGCTATGCATACTAGCCATTATGTGGCAACAGGGGGACTTTTTTTTTTAAAGAAAACACATGACAAGATGTAAATAAAGAAGGCAAAAGTCTGACTTTTAGCCAGTCTTTTTTAAAAACAAAAACGCTAAAGGAAAGACAGCTAAAGAATGTAAAGCAAAAAGAGGAATCTGCTAAAGCAGAAGAGAAGCCGCCGGCAGTTAAGCCTGTTCTTGGAGCTTATCGTGGCAAAATTGTGCAGTCCAAGATTAATTCTTTTAGGAAGCCCTCTGAAACAGCAGACAATAAAAGTTCTGTCCCTGAGTGTAAAACCATTAAGCAAACTGCAGCAACCAAGCCAAATATATCTGCTACCAGGAAGCCAATGGTTAGGCCATCTTCTGTCAATGACATAAAACTGAAGACGCAAGTTCCACCAAAAAAGCCGCTAGCACCACCAGTGACATCACAAGTCAAGACATCCGCTAGAGTGACCATAAAGAGGAAAGCCCAACCTGAGACCATGAGAAGAGCTACGCATGTCATCCCAACAGTCGCATCAAAGGCATCCAATACTACAGTTACCAAGAGCAGAGTTGACCATGTGACCGTGAGAAGAACCACACATGTATTTAACCACAAGAAGTCGCTGGGAGCAAACGTGCAGCAGGGGGTTTACTTAGCTGGAATGCAGAGCAAGAAAAGGGAAACAGTTGGCCCTGTAGGCAGCTTGCCAAGTCACCAGCAGCCATCCGTTGTTGGCAAATACCCAAGAGCGAATGAATCGGCAGAAGAACGCAAGTATGTTGGGGTTTTTTATACTGTAAATTTAATTGTCAGTAGTCCCATTTAAAAAAAAAAATGTTCACTTATTCACAAGGCAGTGTAAAGAACAATAGTAAGGGTAACCTAGAGCAGCTGATTGGATTTTAGATTGTAAGCCCTCAGGGGCAGGGCCCTCACCATCTTGCCTTGAATTGTATTGTAACTGTAATGTCTGCCCTATATTGTAAAGCGATGCGCAAACTATTGGAGCTATATAAATCCTGTATAATAATAATTATTTATATTTACGGAGGTTTGATCAGTTAAAAAACAAAAATCTTAGTTTGGCTGCAATTGGTAACGCCACGTTTTCAGATTTTTCTACCAAGTCAAGAAATTCTACTGCCCACTTAATGTTTGCATTTGACAGTGGAATTATATGGGCAGTTCTTCATAAGAGGAAGAGCTTACTCCTAATTTGGGTAGAGGGAAGGGTCTGGCCTCCACACACATACAGCCTTAAGCTGGCCATACACTGATCTATTTTTTTTATTTTTTTTCGTTCAACCCACGTGCTGAATGGAAAAAATAGACCCGATTCCTCCAACACACACTGCTTGTCGAGGAATACCCGCTGTTTACATACAGCGGCTGACGGCACCTGTCAGAATACCTGACCAGAGTGGGCAGCTCATTGGCTGCCGCCTCTGATCGATCAAAGATTTTCCAACCGGCTCCTTCGATCAGCTGATCAAGGGATGAAAGGGTGCCAACAGAGGCACACACTGTACGAATTTGAACAATGTATGGGCCTGCTACAAGAAAAACCTGCTTTTGTTTGTGCTAGATGACCTATAGATAATGCTCCATCCCACCTACACAGAAAGTTTGTCCATCTGCAGGGAGCTGACCAGTAACTAAGCATAGTTTTCGCTCCAGTTCCCAGATTTAAAAAAAAAAAAATCAGATGAATATAACACTTTTTTTTTTTTTTTCTCTTGTGTGGGTATATCATACCCACTCATCCTGCCCCCTTAAAATCATCTTGTTCCCCTTAGTAGAGATTCTAAATATTTGATTACTTGACAGACTATGTGATCACCGTACAGCACTGAAAGCCTTTCAGGTCTATTTTTGGGCAGTAGACTTGTTCATAATGTACTGCCTTGTCTAATCAATAATTGAGGGTCTAGATCAGGGGTGCCCATAAGGTCGATCGCGATCTACCAGTCGATCATGCAGTGATCACTGGTAGATCGCAATGTTCTCTCCTCCCGCTGGTGGGGCTTCTCTGGATCCCCACTGCTCTCCCCATATGTATGCAGTGGGGATCCGAGAAGAAGTGAAGGAACCGGCGGCGCGGGAGGACGGAGCCGCTGTCGCAGAACTAATGCCGAGCAGTGAGGAGAGAGAGAGATGCTCGGTCTGTATCTGACAGCCGGCGCCTCTCTCTCCCCTCACCGCTCGGCCTTAGTTCTGTGACAGCGGCTCCGCCATTTCCCCTCTGCCGGGGAGGGCATGGGGGATCCATGGGAGAAGCTGAGCCCCCGTGTGCGTGGCCGAGCAGCAGAGGATCGGTACATATCAGTCATGTGTACCGGTCCCCTGTGCAGGACAAAAACTTGTTTGTAAATAACTGAGGACACGTAGTACTATGTGTCCCCAGTTATAAATGAACAATCACTCTCGGGACACCTCTCCCCATGTGCAACGTCGGCCACACAAGCACCACGAGGGGATAAGACGCCAGGGCCTCTAGGACGCACTGGAATGTAAACCGGCCGACTTCCTGCGTTCAGGGACGCAGGCATGCCCCCTCGCCCACAGTGTGATCGCCCCCACCCGGAACGCAGGCACATTAGTGCCTGCATTCCGGTCCAGTGTGATCTGAAAAAATAGTGCTTGCAGCATTTTTGCGGATCGAGCTGGACTGGAACGCAGGCACTAATGTGCCTGGGTTCCGGGTGCAGGCGATCGCACTGTGGGCGAGGGGCCTGGCTGCGGTGTCATTGTCTTCAATGCACTGCCACATCCCCTCCCGCCCCTGAATGCAGGTGTTTTTTCATTGGTAGATCTCATTGAGCTCGTCATTTGAAAAGTAGATCTCCAGACGAAAAATTGTGGGCGCCCCTGGTCTAGATCATAATAATTTTTGGCACTCAGTGTAGAGCTTGGTTGTCGTCCAACATATATACAATATTTTTAATGTATAAGACTTGATGTGTGATACATAAATTGTCATTGTCTACTAAAAATAAATCAGAATCTCACTGGCTAGCTGCCAATAAGAATGTTGCTCCTCTTATATTAAATATTTAAATCAAATCTGAGCTGTGTGCAGATAATGGGGGAACTAGAGGCTGGGCAGCATTTGGATGTAATTTGGATTGATAAGACTGCTTTTTGTTATTCAGGGCTCGTCTAGCAGAATGGAGGGCATCCAAAGGAAAGGTAATGAAAAGGCCCCCATCATCTGTGGCCCTACTTTCTACATTTAAGGAACAAAAGGATGAACCAGTGATCAAAAACGAACCTAAAGAACCTCGCCAGCTGTTCTGGGCAACCATGGCAGAAGAAGATGAACAGGAATGGTTCACTCTGAAAGTCAACCAGATCTTTGGAGAATGCCAGAAGTTAATTGATGAGGTATCCATAGATTCAATCCATTCTACGCACCAACGCCTGTATATGTATTTGGGATACAAAAGATCCCAAAGCCTTTTCAAGGCTTTTCTATCAAAACCAGAGCAGGGAAAAAATTAAAATGTGATTAATGGCCACAGCTGTTAGAGCAGCTGTACTCTTGTGCACCTTTTTGTTCAAAGGCCCTCCTGAGCAGCCTGGTTTATAGTAATGCTTGTCTCCAATCCCCTGGTCCCATGGCTGATCATGGGTATAATTATAGAGCAGGCGGCAGTGAAGGGACCATGGGTGACAAGAAAATAATGCAGACCGTAGTAACAAGCAGTTACTCACTGATAGGATTACAGAAACATTTTGTGATTGGTGTTGCTGAAAAATAAACATATTTTTTTTTTATTCTGGTATCAGGGTATTCCAAAGGAAGAAATCCTATCCATACTGGAAAAGCAAATTGAGAATATCCCAGAAGCAGAAAAACTTTCCAGATACTGGGAATGTCTGGCACATCTTGAACAGAGAGAAGGCCAGCCATATAAAGTAATTGAAGTGTGTGAGAAGGCAGTGGCAGCTGGGGCACAGGTAAGAAGAACTCTAGAAGATCACTTGGTAGATTTTGTGATCCTGGAATGGTCTAACAAGCCTTCCTGGCTCTGCGGATTGACTGTCTGTGGTCTGGATGAGATCCACCTCTATTGTGTGTTTTTATGGCCATCACTCCATGTAACTATTTTTTCTTCTCCTTATTGGCATAAGTTTGCTTTAAAGTTGATCTCCACTCATGTTGCATGTTGAGATAGCTGTGGCCCTCCCAGCAATCGAATAATGGTTACTTAAGCCTGTGTATCAGTTTGAAGCTAGCCTGAACAGTACTGGAAAAATTCTATATGTAGCATCTTCAGCATGTAATCCATCAACACACATCTACCAGCTTCTTGTCTTTCGGGCTCCTAAATTTGCCAGATCATGCAAATCTGGGTTGCTGTCAACATCCTGATGCATAATAGAATTAAAGACGATTATTCTCCCCTTTTTTTTTTCCCCCCTTCCTTTTTACTACTCTAAGGCCTCATTCGCACATTCAGCCCGTACAGATCCGTGCAGCATGCACGGGCCGTATCGGGCCATTCCCGGGAAGGACAGGGGCTGCGTGTGATTCTGTGCAGCAGCCTGTTCTTCTCTATGGTAGTATGTGGCCGTACGCTCACCCGAGCTGAACATCGGTGCGGGTGTCTGTACTCGTATGCAGACAGGATCCATCCTCTCTGCGTACGAGTACGGACACCCGTGCTGATGTGCAGCTCAGGTCAGCATACGGCCACATACTACCATAGAGAAGAACAGGCTGCTGCGTACAATCACACGCAGCACCTGTCCTTCCCGGGAATGGCCCGATACGGCCGTGCATGCCTCACGGATCTGTACGGGCCAACACTTAGCTGTGTGAATAAGGCCTAAATGTTTCTTAGTAGATGACTAACTCCTCCCTTCTCCCATGTTTTGACTTTCTGCAGCCTCTGGAAGAGCTGAGAGCCATTCTTGCAAATACATTGGAACATTTGAAGACTGAGCCTGGTATGTAGTCTTTGGATTATTAGCGGGTTTTATTTGTGTTGCCAAGGCTGCAGACAATGATCTGTAGGGGCACATTTATCTCCGTACACCAGGTATTTAATTTCGTGTGTAAACCAATACCAAGACTATGCAGATTAAAGTATTTACGTATTCCAAACAATCTGTAAAAACACTAAAACATTCACTCCCTGACCTCTGTAGCTCTAAGGATTATTGAGAAATTCATATTTAAATTTCACAACAGAGGCACAGATGTCACAACTCCACCTGCCTGCTTTTACTATGGCAGCAGAGACTTGGCAGCCTGACAGCTTTCTAATGTAGACAAACAGAAGGTGCTTCTTAGCTGTTGGAAACACACTAAACTCCACTTTAGAGTCTCTGTTGTGGTCTTAAAGTGACACTAAACTTAGAGTTAAACCTTAAAAATGCATTCAAGTGCCCCAACTATTAACAAAAATGTATCTTATTTGTGTATCACTCGGCTGTAGATCCTCAAATCATCTCTGAATTGGTGCCGACACTGTCCTTCCTTCTGGAGGGTTGCTACTTTTGTTCCCCATGGTCCCTGTGTGTTGTAAAGTAGTCACCATTCCTAGCTCACTCCCGTGATGGACTACAATCACATGTTTAGTTTACAAATTTTTATTGAGATTGTAGTCTATCATTTGAAGATATACAGCTGAGTGATGCACAAATAAGATACATTTTTGTTAATAGTGAAGGTACTTGAATGCATTTTTAAGATTTAACTCCTGAGTTTAGTAATTTACATTTACCCTTTCAAGTAAATGTGTTTGAAATGCCAGTTTCATGACCCCCTTGCAGATCCAATTGCTTCAGTACTTTCTAAGTCACTGACTTGGAGCAAGTATGCAGATTAGAAGTTCTGACATCCTCAATACAGGTCTTTTAATGGGGAAATATAGTTCTAGCAGAAGGCTAATTTCTTGAATACAGCAGAGTCGACAGTGCAGGAAGAGGTAAGTATTAAAGTGACAAAGTCAAAAAATGTTTTCCCTCCCCCCAATGTTAATTAAAGCACTTGGCTTAAATGATGTTTCTTAATCCGATCTTCTTCTTTCCTGTTGTTTTCATCTGTCCCTCCAGCGCTGCTGCTGGTCTCCGATCCAGCGATGACTCCTCTGTCCTTGATGGCACTTCCTGTCCCACGGTGTCTGCATGCGTGTGCACGCGTCCATAGACTTATCTTGTGTCTCTGCTCGTCTCCCGGCCGAAAATGTGAACTGCGCCTGCCCCAAGATGCTTTGCGGCCGCTCAAGAATGTTCACGTTTTCGGACGGAAGCGCGCGGGGAAGACGCAAGTAAGTTTTAAAGTGTTTTTTAATACTGCATCATATTTATTTTATACAGTGACTTTTAAAGTATATGCAAAGACAAAACTGTTACAAGTACCTCCCATTTTACCCTTTTATTCCAGTTCTGATCACCGCTTTAAAAGACAGCTATGGGGTACCTTTTTATCCAATAGTTCTCTTTAGGGTCCCGTGAGGACATACAGTATACTAACCTCCCTCCTGTGACCCAAAGCTCAGTATATAGCGAGCTTATGCCCGCTATGCACTGAGAGCACCGCAGCCGGGACGGATCCTGACAATACTGTCGAGATCCACCCAGTTGGCTAATTGACAGGGGGCCCTGCCTATCTAGAAGCAGAGCCAGCTGTGCCCGCCCCATCCCAAATGTGTTCCTTCAGTCAGTGCTGGAGGAGGGGGGGGAACCTGATAGGAGTGATGACTGACGGTCACCGCTGTCTGCAGGGAGATGATTGGGAAGTTTGCTTACTTCCCGATCTATATAGAATCAATCTGTGACAGTTTTATTGTCACACGTTGGCTCTAACTACAGTAGGAGGATAAGTGTAAATCACTCACCTCATAGTTCTCCTTTTTAACATTATGGATTTCTCATTAATTTCTGTCCCAGTCTCAATGGTTACCAAGGCCGTGATACCATTATAAATGGCTTGTAGGCATGGGCTGATATTGCAGTCCTGGCACAATCATCTTGGAGAGATGTAAAAAAACCAACGGGAGATTGTGCCCACCATATGTGCCAGTTTTGAGTTTAGTTAATGCAGAATAAGCATGTAATATGTAATTGATCTGGTGCTGTATTTCCAGGAGAGAGCCAGAAGAAAGAGAGTGAGGGAGAGGCTGAAGCTGAAGAGCTAAAGGCTGAAGTAAAGTTTGAACCTGAGGATTCTGCTATGAAGGAGAAAAAGAAAAGGGGAAGAAGACGAGCAATGAAATATGAACCAAAGAGCCCGTCCACTCCTGAGAAACCATCCAACTCTCAGAGCTCTCCAGGAAAAGGAGAGGATACATCGTCCGTTATTAGATTCAACATCACTACAACCCCTCATCTGCAAATGTAAGTTCTCCCTTCTGTTCAGGAGGTACCTTGAGTGTACGGTGTGAATATCTGTGCATTATCATCAATCTAATCCACATTAGGGTCTCATAGATACTGCCTGCTCAGTGCCAGGCCCATAGACTGCTTTATAACAGATTTTCTTAGCAGGTCACCCTTCCCACACACTAATACTTGCCTTCTCCATGCTGCCCCCTTTTTCTGTCTGAGCCCCAAGTCTAATGCATGTGTAAGCTCCATGTCTATTATTGTAACTTACACAGAGTTCATGACCTTCTGTCCTACCCCACGTGACAGTGTTCGTGCCTGTGATTGGCCACCCAGGTACAAGCACTGCTTCCTAGGGTTAAGTGGAGATGGCCACATGCTCTTTAGTATTGGGTAATTGAGGGCTCTGATGGACGAATTGAGCAGGTGGGAAGAGCTGCGCAGGTGAGTACCGGTAGGTGGGTGCGGCCTGTCGGGGCTGGGCAAAGTGACAGATTCTCTTTAAAGTGTATGTAAACCCCAACAATGAACTGCTCCTATTTGATCAAATTTTAATCTGCTAAATATATCATTTGAAAGTGTTTTTTATGTCCATTTCATACCTGCTAATCAGGTCAAAAATTCAGTCCCTTTCTGTGTTGTCCCAAGGAGGCTAATTGGCCCTCCCAGTTCTTATCTTGGTACCACAGAATGATTAGCCTTTATCTTGTGGTGATGGGAGAGTGGGAGGGTCTGAGTAGTTCCTCAATAGGAAACTGGACAGGGCTTACAATACTAAGGTCCCTTTCTAACGGGTGCCCATCTGCTCCGATCAGCGAGGGATCCGCGCAAAGATTCCATGCTGATCTGAGCAGTACAGAATGGATGTCACTTTTTTGACATTCATGCCTATTTAGGTTTTTTCCTTCATCTTGTGATGGAGGAAAAAACTGATCCATGTTGGGTCTATAGGCAGGTGACTGTAACTGACATGCATCTGATTACATCCTTTCACCTCTGATCCGCCAAGTTTAGGTCTGAATGAACGGAATGTTTTTTTTTTTGTTTTTTTTTTTTTTATTATCCTCAAGATGTATTTGAAGGTCATCAGATGTAAACGAACGCACATCCATCTGCCCACAGACTGAAAGGTTTATCTGATGGGAACAGCTGTGCAAAAGGCTGGTCCTAAAAAAATGGTGTATTGTCGCCCACAACAGGAGCTAAGAGCTAACAGATTTGCATGTCATTTTCTGTACTTGCAGGGCACTTAAAGTGCCCCTGTGGTCAGACTATAGACCTTAAACTATTAAGATATTCTTACCATTTTGAAATCTGAGAATTGTCGGTAATCATGGTAAGGGGAGAGGAGCAAGGCATAGGTTATACACCCTAAAACCTTTTTGGGGCGTATTATGTGTATACACGCAAGGTCCTAAAGTGGTTTAGTAGTAGAACTTGTCATCGCCTAAAATGATTTTAAAGTATAACTAAAAGCAAAACATTTTTTTGTAATTTGCATAGAGTAGTGAGGGATTAGAACTAGGGATGTATCGGCCGCCGAAACATATCGGCCGAAAATTGAACTTTTGGCATAATGCTGAAAGTGCCATTTTCCTGCCGATATGTTTCGGTGGTGTATCCCTGCTTTCTTTCCTCCCCGCTAGGCGCTGCTCTGTGTCCCAGCGGGGAGGAGAGAAACTGTGGCAGCCGGCCGAGCGCTGCGGGAGGATAGCGCTGTGAGCGGCCGGCGTCTCCTCCTACACAGCTCAGCATCCTGTCACAGTCCGACAGAGCGGTGTGTGGGCGCAGACAGACAGCGCTGTCACAGGAGGCTGAGCTCTCCTCCCTACACCGCTCACTCAGCCTCCTGTGACAGCGTGTCAGAGAGGAGAGCAAGGTACAAACACTCAGCTTTCAGTGATCGCTGAGTGCTTGTTGATAATTGAGGATATGGTATGTGTACTATATCCTCAATTATGAATGAATGGGAGTGATCTACATCCCCTCCTGTCCATTCATAGTTGTAGTTATAGTAAACATACCATGTCCTCATGTTAGGAATGAACAGGAACACTCAGAGGATTCCTGTACATTTGATAACGGGGGACACCGATAAAGAGATTGCGACACAAAGTCCTCATATCTCTTTTTCTATTTTAAAAGGGAAATATCAGGGGTCTGCTTAGACCTCTAATATTTCCCTGAAGCCCCTAAAAGTAAAAAATAAATAAATATAAAAAAATTTGAAAAAAAAATAAACATTTTCGGTATCAGCTTGACAATTTTTTTATTTTGGTTTCGTTTCAGTTTTAAAATTTCCATTTCGGTGCACCTCTAATTAGAACCACTGTCGGGTTTTTATTGGTAAAGCAGATATAGCCATAAATTTAAAAACAGAGGTATTAGTATATATTGCAGCAAATCTATATGGAAGGCACGCTGCTACATCAAGACCCCTCTAATAGTGTCTGAGGGCTGGCTAGTTCTGCTTTAGATTTGTGCCACCATTGGCCATGCACCCTACTACACTGATTTTGTGGCAATAGTGTAGAACAAGATGTTGAATGTTAGGTTTTTATTGCTGTTTATGTCCCCATTAGGAAGATTCACTCTAATTGTCCTGATCACCAATGTCCCTGGAAAGAAAGGGAAAATCCCAAGTTTTTGAGTTGCCACCAGAACAGGAATAAAGGAGCAGGAGAAATCTTCCAATTGGGAACTTGTTTCTATGACAACTGTTTAAGAGGGAATTTCCTTGACATTGGAAAAGATATCCTGTAGCTTCCTGTTGAGACTGCAGGACAGGAGAGGAAATCTCCACAGTGAGTTTTTAGGATGGCAAACGTAGATGGCGATCTCAACGATCACTGCTCTTTCTAAAATGGGGAGTCAAATGTTTTTTTGGCTTTAGATATACTTTAAAATATAGCATTTATTCTCATATTTGTAAGTTACATTTTCTGTGCCGTATGGATAATTTACATTAAAAAAATAATAATTTTAATATGTCCTCATTTTGTATAATCAACTGATTTTGTTGTTTTTGCCCAGGATGAGAAAACTACAGCTGAGGGAAGGAGAATCCAGCTTCCAGGGTTACAAATTTTTAACACCCGTCCGACGTTCCAGCCGCTTGGAAAGGAAATCTCATATATTTCCAGACATGTTGAAAGACCATGACCCATGTATTGCTGGCATTGCCCAGCTGGAATACCTGGAAGATCCCCAGAGCTGTCCCAATGCATATATCTTTCGGAAAAACGAGGCACTAAAGGAGATTAATGCAAGAAGCTTGACTAAGAAATGAATCAGCTTCATAGACTATAGACTGACTGGTTAAAATGCACCTTTTTTATTTTATTCTGTATACTGGGTTATACAGTCGACTATCTTCACAGCACACTAATGTATTCGTCAGGTGTTTTTCTTTACATGTGTGTCCTGTTTCATAGATGCTTCCCTAAGCTGCATTACTGCCGCTAGTTATTAATTGATTGACTGGATATTAATTAAGCCAACACAAAATGGCTGCATTTGCAGTGTATAGCAAGGTACCATTTTTAACCTGTTCCTTGCCAGTGTGAGTGTTCCAATATAACTGGTATTGCATCCAATGTAATAAAAGTTATGCGTCCGTTGCTTTTAAACAGAATACTGCAGTTGTTTTTAGTGCTTTTGGTAACTTTTAAAAGCCTGCCCTGGATTCCTTTTTAGTTCCCAATTGAAGTCTTTAAAAAAAACAAAACCACACACTGTATCATTTTAGGGAGCAACAAAATAGGTTTTCAAAGTCTTGGTGGTTATAGTGGTGTAAGCTTGCTGCACTGCCACTAATACATCCCCTGCCAGTAGCCCGCAGCTAAGGTCCTCTGAGACCTGTGAGCAGCTAGCTTGCTTAAAGTAGCTTTACACTGTTAATGAGGAAGATCAATATCTCTGCAATTGGCAAAACTCATGCCAATTGCAGGACTATTGGTCTGACCTGGCAGGGGGCATGGTGGACTGATACAGTGACACCACTGTTCTTGCAGCTGGACCAGTGCCCCTTAGCTGCAGGCTACTGGTAGGTAGTGATGACCTGGGGCTTGGTGGGAAATCTGTTCACCCAAGCCAGCTCAAAACGAAGACCAAACACCCACCACCTTCCTGTCCCATTTAGTTGCAGCAAGCGCATTCCTCACCCCGCAGCTACGTGTCACAAGGGGACGGGGTATACAACTGTTTGGGGAGGGGGCGGTGTCTCCACAATTTTAAGCAGGTTTGGGTGAACTGGGTTTGCACCAAACCCCAGCTCATCACGACTGATGGTTTTTGTCCCCCCTGAAATGTTGGGTGAATTTACTCTAAGACTTAAACTTTAATTTAAGAGCTCTACCCAGGCTCAGTTGGATGTTTCCCAACTTTTGTCAGAATGAGAGGTAAAATAAGAATCAAATTATTTCAGATGTTGCAAATAACACTTCTATGCTACTGCCTGACACTGTAGAATGCATGGCTTGTAGCATTAGGGCCATGGGAATATGTCATGCCTGCAATCCTGTCTCAAGAAATATGGGATGCCACAAGTGCTTATGTGAATTCAGTGGTACAAAGTTTGGGACACGCTGAGCCTGATTTATGAAAGTCTCTAAAATAAATGGTGTCTGTTTTACAGCAAGACATTGTATTCTTTCATTCCAGGAAACACCCAAATAGATCATGGCAACCTACCAGCATACCTGCCATACAAGTATAATAACTGCTAGATTGCCTTGATCCATTTCATTGTTGTTTTTATAGTCAAAAACTGGAAATTTGGTAGAAATCATCTGTGCGATGTATGACCAGCATGGAAGTCTGCCACTTCAGCAGCTGCACTCTGGGCAAGTGTACAGTTTACTGTATTGCATCATAATATATTTTACCTGTACCGCTCTGCTGTAATAAACAGAAGTGTTCTTTGTAGTAAGTGTGATGTGTTGTATGTAGGGGGCTTAGCATGTTCTGCACTGTCTGTGTGGGGAAGGAGATGCTCAAGTAGGTTTTGTTATTGCCTATGACAAAAAGATCCTGCAGTTGCCTTCCTTTTTCTAATGGCGGTTAAAGCAAAATTTTACCTAATTGTCATGGCAGCCAGGAAATGAGCAATGTTGAAGGTAGAGACCCCATATTGGCTCAGTACAGGTTTCCTTTTGAAGGGAAATGGCACTGAGAGTAGACTGCCAATGAGGATCTGCAGCGGCAAGCATTAGGTGTGTAAAGTTGCCCATACACCTTGCAATTATCATTCGGAAATCTAACACGATCGGGTTTTCCTACGATAATCGGCCAGTTGATGTGAAGTAAACGATCACAATTACTGTACAACTGGGTGAATTTCCTCGATCGGTCAGGCTGGAAAATGTTATTCGAATCGTATGAAAATCGAAGGACTAGTGGCATCAATGAAAATCCGTTCTCTCGATCGACGAAATTCAGTGAGTTAGTATTGCTAACAAACGATTATCGAAACGACATTGGTCTGTGCATGATGGGGTAATCGAGCGGAAATCAAACGACGGTTCGATGAGGGCACGAAAGAAATCTAATGATAATCGCAGAGTGTATGGCTAGCTTTAGGAGGGAAAAGCTCAAATCCCCTGAAGGGTGACCATATCACAGTTCCACGATCTTGGCTACCTGACTTTCCCTGCAATGGTACATGGTGCTGTTTGCTTTTGAACCAGATGTGGACCCACCTCTCTTCCAAAAAAAAGAAATCATTTGGAGCCCAGTGCAAATAATTCATAGACTGGATTGGAGTTGAGTGGATTCTGTTGATGCCAATTCCAGCCTTAAAGGAGATCCCTATATCACATCTTAAGGATCCATTTGGTTATAGCATCTTTGAGTCCAATCAAAACCTTATGCCATCCTAAGCCCTAATGAAGGAGGAGTGTTGTTGCCCTCCAAATGCGCTGGCTGATTTTTGCTTAATAGATGTAAGAACAATTAAAGCAGGGGTAGCCAAACTCCGGCCCTCCAGCTGTGGTGGAACTACAAATCCCATGAGGCATTGCAAGATTCTCACAGCCACAGACATGATTGCCGGAGAGAGATGCACCATGGGATTTGTAGTGTCCCCACAGCTGGAGGGCCGGAGTTTGGCTACCCCTGAATTAAAGGCACGTTTTGGACATTCACCTTTTGCTTTGGCACCTTTTTATTTCTGAACATTGGATTCTAGGTGAGGGCTTTGTGTGCAGCAAAGCACCATACGATTCTACAATCTAGAGAAGTTCTTCCTTGGTGCAGCTTCTTTTGTCTATGTAGAGGGAAGAACTCGCTACCTTGCCTTCAAAATGACTACAGCAAGGGTAGGCAACCTTGGCACGTCGGCTGTGGTGAATCTACAAATCCTGTCTTGCCTGTGGCTGTCAATATTGCAATGCCTCATGAGACTTGTAGTTCTACAACATATGTAGTACTGAAGTTGCCTACCGCTGAGCTAAACACACACAATCCTTCCTAATAGTAATGAAAATATTGACAAGAACTTCCCCCTCCCATTTAGGTGGAGCTCTGGCACTAAGTAAACCTATTTAGAAGATTCATTCTCGCATTTTGTTCATGTGATCAGTCGGAAAGGAAAAATCTCAGATTTTACAGAGGTGACCTGAAAGAGAAATCTTCCAACTGAAACACCTTATCTGGTTGGCAGCAGTCAAATTCCTCCTACTTCCTCTTGTATCTCTGGGACAGGAAGTGAGTGAACATTCTCCTTCTAGGAACATGGACAGCAATAACCTGAAAGAGGTTTAGGGCCCATACACACCTGCAGCGTGCACTGCCAGAGCTGTGCCTTGTAAAAGAAGCAGTGCACAATGCTAATTACAGCGCATGTGCTGTTTAACTTTTTTTTAAACTTTATTGAAATGTCACAAATTTCATTAATTTCTATTCACTCCAGCATATTGTGATTATATGTAGTGCATTGCAACACACTGCAGGAGGGGGGGAAAAAAGGACTGCATGTAGGGTTGCCTCCTTTTTTTTTTCGTCAAGCGAAACCCAAACACTCTAGCGACGCGTGGACATTTTTTTGGGAGAATAAGTCGCAGTTTATTCATATGTAAATATCACAGTTGAGACTATATTCAGTGCAGGGCCAGTAGCCCCTATCTTAATTTTGGGGCTGTCTGCCTGACATCTTCTGTCTGGGTTTCTGCTGCCGTGAAACCCGGACTGTCAGGGTGAATCCTGGACAAGTCGCAACCCTAACTGCATGTCCTACTACTGCATGTTGGCGGGCTATTGTGTTGTGGCAGCTCTGGCAGTGTGCGTTGTATTGCACACTGCCCTGTCACTTTTTACATTTTTTTATTTTTGTAGAGTACACTCCATTCAGGTCCCCGCACAGCAGCGGTGCAGCAAGACGTGTGGAAGCATCCAGTGCGCTGCAATAAAATGCAGCATGTTTGCATTTTATTGCAGCGCACCACCCAAAGAAATGGAGTATATTCCCTGGGAGTCTCTGAAATTGGCTGGACCCAATATGCAAAGTGCAACCTTGGATCGCTTTGATTTGTCATTGTCCATGCTATCATGAATAATAAGGAAAGAAGCAGGGCTCTGGACTTTTCTAAACGCATATAATGGTTTTTAGTGGTACAGTCGACCCCCACAATTCACGGGGGGTTACGTTCCTAGAGCACCCGCGAATTGTGAATGTGGTCAAAAAATGCCTATAAATGCTTATTTTTATTACAGGTGCACCAAAATGGAAATTTCAAAACCGAAATTAAAGAAATTCAGGCTGAAACCGAAAATGTTTTGTTTTAATTTTTTTAATTTCAATTAATTTTTTTAATAAACTTTTTCATTTTTTATATTTATTATTTTATTCATTTTTTATTAAATATTTTTTACTTTACTTTTAGGGGCTTTAGGGAAATATTGTGGGTCTAAATAGACCCCTGATACTTCCCTTTTAAAATAGAAAAAGAGATTGAGGACACAGAGTCCCCAATCTCTTTTTCTGTACCCCCAGTAGAAGAAGAACAACAACAACAAAACGAAAAACACGTGAACACTCAGCGAAACACTCGAGATAGCTACACGTGGTTATTAGTTAGGCTCTCAGGAAAAAATCTGCGTACAATTGAGGCCGTGAACTCTGAACCACGACTTTGCGGTGGTCGACTGTATTGCTTAAACTGAGTGTTTAGAAAGAAGTACATTTTGTGCTTTACAGGTATAATTAGAAACTCTTAGGCTACAGGCAAATGTTTTTTTGGGGTATTTTTTTTTTAAATATGCATCTGTGGATTCTGTTTTTTTTTTTGGCCAGGCAGTGTACTTAATAATATTGTAGTAAATGGCTTTTTAGTTACCTACCTCTTTAATAACCCGTATTGTAGCACTGCTATAATCAGGAGCCGTTTCTATCTATATATACACAGTAGCAGCACAAGGCTTTTTATCTATATACACAGTAACAGCCCAAGGCTTTGACTGCAAATGATGCAAAGGACAGGAGACTTCTGGGTAAATGCCATGATTTACTATGGAGTTACCATTGCCTGCCTGTAGGAGTGGGTGGGAGGAGGTGTACATACAGGAAGAGAGAGCAGTTACTGAGCACACCCAGAAACACCCGAGTGTCTGATCAATGTATTACTAGCTGAGCACAGACACAATGCTAGATCCATGCACTGCACTCTATAACAACACAACACAGCCATCTGCATGACACTGCACTGGAGACGACAACTGAATGACCACTAACGGTATGACCTGCTGAGCTCATTTATTCATTGTGTATTATATAATGACAGCTGGCTGGAAGCAATGAATGCAAGCATTGTGACAAATCAAGCAGCAGAAGCCGGGCAGCAATTTCACGCCAAATATCAGACCAGGGAAATGTTTTCCATGAAAGAGCGTTGACTAGTGAAAGCTCAAGAGAGATAACTGAATGGCATGTTCAGTATATTTAAAGCGTCAGACTCGGATAGCGAAATGCCATCTTTGAAAATTCCATTATCTTCTACTTTGTGGCTATCGGAGTCTTGCAATGCCTCATGGGACTTGTAGTTCTGCAGCAGCTGGAGTGCCTAGGATGCCTTCCCCTGGAATAGACTGTAAACCCCGAACATGCTGATCACGTCTACTGATAATGTACAGATAATACGGAAATCGGATGATCATCAGAGTCAGGCACAGATAATAATGTGTTGTCTGTGGAAACCCTTCTGTAAAACGGGACACAGACACTATTCAACAGTTGGATGTTTATTCACAACCTGTCTTTTTTGCAGCAGTCTCTTCAATGTACAGAGATGCTCTATTTGTACACATTGTCCTGTTTAGTACAAGGTACTGGCTAATCCAGGGCAGCAATACAATAGCTGCCAGCCAGAGCTTTTAAATGCTGAACGCCAAGCACAAAAACTTTCAGCTAAAATTAATTTCTCAATTGACAAGTTGTCAATCTACTTTGCATGCACCAATTGCCTTTGCAAACATAGATATTACAATTTGAAAGTAGCAGTGACATCATCACTGTGCTGTACATAGCCTGTGCAGAGATGTGGGAGGGGCCCAGCAGGCTCCACCCACTACAAGCTGCCTACAGAAAACTACAGGAGGGGGTGGAGACAAGACCAGTCAAGCTGCACAAGAAAAATATAACAGGAACTTCCTGCACAAAGGCACAATTTTCACTGTGGATTACTGCACAGATCTAGAAATAAAATGCACAAAGCACTTTAAGATTCAAGTAAGACTACCCATGCCTCTTGTGTTTAGACAACATTTGCTTATCCCAGAGTTCACCTTCAACACCTCCAATCAGTACATTTGCAGGATAATATAACTTCCTTTCTGTCTCGACAGCACCAATGGAGAACTACAAGATTCTCAATGTTATCGGAGAGGGATCATTTGGTAAAGCACTCTTAGTATGCCACCAAAACACCAATCAGAACTACGTCATGAAAGAAGTTCGACTTCCAAAGGTAAGCAAGATGTTGGACTGTACTTTTCTAGTTAATTAGTAATAAATTTTTAATAGTGGCGAGCAATAACTAGCATATGCCGTTCAAGTGAGCTAGAATTGTTCCTCCTAGTGCAATACAGAAGAGACATTCCTGAACCTTCAAGCACAGTCCATCTAGTAACCCCTACTGTATCATTGTATCATTCAGCACTATTGACTTCCAGCAACCCCCCCACTATGTAAATGCTGAACTCCAGACCCTTTATTTAGACATACATCCCAACTGTCCATCATTTGAAATCAAAAGTTATTTTTTATCTACAGTATCAAAAGTATTTAGTTGTACCAAACTTTTTTTTTTTTTTTACCAAGTCTTTAAATTATTCTATATGGGTTTTATGAAAAGCTAAACTACAGGAAACGTAAAGATAAATAAAGCAATTTTGAGTTAAACCAATCATTTTTTTGCACATTGATCGTCATGGTCTGTGTTACTGGAGGCATGTTGGTCAGCTTATTTCAGAAGTACCTTCTTAAAGCCACAGGCTTCTTGTCTGTCTGTGCCAGTCACTATTGGCCAAGGGGCAGTGTACACGCAGTCCATGTTCATTGTCACATTGAAAAAGTGCCAACTTTTTGTGCCAACATGGTCATTGTGTGGCATGGCCATGCACTAAACCCTTTTTTCCTTTGTGTAGGGATAAGCTCAGTGTCACTGCACAAAGATTCCCCCCCGTTCTCAGCTGGGGTGTATTTCATGCAGTCTGCAGTGAAACTGTATTGGAAAAGAGGGGTGTCATTTTAATACCCCCCCTTTAATATGATCCTGATTCCCATTCCACAACTGAATAAACTGAACAATGAACAGGGTATGAGGGCGTCCCCTTCGCAGCAGGCAGAGGCATGTGCAAGCTCCCACCACAACCTTATACACCAGTAAAATTTTGTTCAGAAATTTTCATTTTTGGAAGATTTGTTCTACTTTCCAATGGTTAGTGGGGTCTAATCGACATTCATTTTCGAACGATAGCAATGAGGAAAATCAAAGGAGGAGGATGGAATATTATTCTAACCATGAATGTGATTTTCATTAAGGAAAAACCGTACAAAGAAAATCTGTTTAATACATCTGGGTATTGAACCACATTTTAAGGGCTTTCAAATGAAATTAGGTGACTTAGCAATGGCAAGATCGATTTGATGAACAGTCATTCACTAATGTTCAAACAAAAATTCTAACATTGCATGGCCAGCTTAAGGCTACATATACACCTATACTTGAGGTGCGTTTAGGGATTCCTGCTGCAGGAAATCGCAAGTTCCTGATTCAGGAATTCTTAATCTCACAGCGCCAACTGCTATCAAAATACCCAAGCAAAGCTGGCAGCTGACCGAAGGAATTTACATGTTCCTTCCTAAAAAGTTGATCCAATAATCAACTTCTGTCAAGGGAATAGGGTCACTAGCGCAGCGAATTTCAGCCGACTCCTGCTGAAGTGGCCAAAATTGGCTTGTGTGCACCCACCTTTAAAGGTAGGGTTAATGTTAGAGGGGACTTAGGGTAGGGCACTAAAACAAACAGCAGTGATCCAGTAGCACCAAAATCTCATACCCCTTGGATGTAATCTAGTTGGATGCCATATGCAGCAGATATGTTTTTATTTTTCGGGTAAGATTTATCGGATTTGACACTAATGGTCGTCATGTACTGGAGCTTAACATTAAGCTATATTTAGAATTACAAAATAGATGTTTTCAGTCCTCAGGGGCAAGCCGAGATTCCAGACAAGAGGCCATTCTTCTGGCTAAGATGAAGCACCCCAATATCGTGAAATTCAGAGAGTCATTTGAAGGTATGGTATATATAATAAACTTTGTATACTCGAGTTTCTTACTATACTTCTGTTTACTCTACAATCACGATGGTTTGTCTCATTCTACCCAACATGCCTTTCTTTATAAATTACACATGTATTGTCACAATTAAAGTGTACCTGTGAACATGTAAAATAAGAGAAAACATATTCAGTACCAAGAAGTAATACATGCACATTTCCCTGATTTCCATACCTTTAAAAACACTGCAAGTATAGAATACCCGTTGATCTGCTAGAAATCCAGTGAGCTTCTAACGTCCTGTTTGGACTGACAATGCTTCTTCTGCTGCACTAAAATCCCAAGCAGCGTTCTCCACCGCTGTACTAGAGAACTTATGTTATGGAGCTGAGGAGTGGCAGAAGTGTTTTGTAGTCCATCAGATGAGAACTGGGCAGGGGTGACAGCAGAGGAAGAGGCAGTAATGTCAGCTCACTACGGACGTTTTTGTTTGGTTTTGGACAGAGTAGGGGAGGGTATAAAGCTATAAAGCCCAGTCGGTAAATTTTTTGTCTCCCTTTCTGTGTGCCATTGGGGATTGTGAGAGGAAAATCTCCCCAAAGAGAGGGGAATTGTGAGAGGAAATCTCCCCAAAGAGAGGGGAATTGCCCTCTTAGTTCTCACATTAACAGGTCCCCCCATTTGGAAGAGATACACTCACCTCCTACTCTGGTGATACTCAAAATTTGGATTTCCCATCACCAGGACAAATTGAGAGGGTAAATCTCCCCGGCTGGGACACAGGTGTTCAAAACTAGAAAAAAACGTTCCTCCATTACGTACAATTTACGAAAGTCAGTGGCCAAAATGTACAACTCCTTCACCAATCAAAAGGCTTCTTATAGTTAGAGAAAGCTTAGAAATGATTGTGCTCAAATAGAAGCAGCATATAAGACCCTGGCAGTTGGTGGGAGCACAGACAACATTCTTTCTTAACTATTCCTTTGCACACTCCTTTGATTGGCTTCAGTCACTGTTTGGCGGACCAGTTTTGGCCCAGCTCCTTTGACAATAGTCAATTGAAAGATCAAATTTGTCAAACGGAGGTGTGCTGGCAAGACCACCCACGGCTTGAATTTTGCCCAAGTTAGCTGGACTCGGTCAAAATTCTAGCACTGTATGGCCAGCTTAGGTAGACAGATGGGGTGGGGGTTCAGTGCATTTAGCTCAGGAGGGATTGAAGGATGAATAAGCATAGGTTTAGATAAACCTGAATGGGGGCTTTGAGGAACTTTTTAGTTCTGGCATTCCTCTATACACTGTATATGAGGCAACAAGAAGTCTGTAGAGGTCCCATAATTACCAAAATACGGGTAGAAAAGACTGAGGTGTATTGGTACAGGACAGAAAAGTTTGGATGAAAAACTGAAGTACTGGTAAGGTAACCTATGCTTCCTGTATTCATCTCAAGGCTTCGGTTTTGACTGGGCTCTACAGTGTAAATTACCAGCATAATTATACTTTAAGTTGCATGTATGCACAAAACAATATGGACATGTTTCACAACAGAATGCAGAGCTGGCGGAGAAGGTAAAATATCTGAGCACAAAGATCAACTATGTAATGATATTGATTGCATCATTACAGACTTCTGGAGAATATTTTCCAGGTCATCTTGCTTCTCAGTTCCCGTTGGTGAGCTGATATGTCAGTTTAGTTTTATACAGTAAATTGATTTATTTTCTTCAAATGCCTCTACAAAATAATTCCCCCTCTGTTTTTGTTTTTTTTGTTGACAGAGGATGGCCATCTGTACATAGTGATGGAGTATTGTGAAAGAGGTGACCTGCTGGTGACCATTAAACATCAGAGGGGAAAGCTTTTCTCTGAACAGAATGTGAGTGTGGGAAATTGTCATAGCAACATAATGTGCATTTAACCAGCTTCAGCTTCTACTCATCATAACAGGAACATAGACAGCACCATCATTAATAACCTATCACCAACACGTTTCTCTACTGGTGTGTGCCCAGATGAAGCTTTTCCTGATGGGGAGGAGATAACCATATATTATGTCATATAAACATGTCTTCATTTCACAAGAGATAAAAATTAGTATGTCTAGCATTTTTTTTAATGTAAAGCTTTATTTTAAGTTTTTTACAGAATAAGAGTAAAAATACACGAGTTATCAATAATAAATATACAATACATGAGGTCTGACATACAGTCAGGATATGAAAAGGCAAAGCATTGTATGATCCCACCATGGTTGAGGTGGGATTTAAAAGAATACATGGGAAGTATTATCTTACATCTTGGTTGTATAAATGAGGGTGTCATCCTGTGTACATCGGGTACAATAGGTGAGGGAATATGAGATTGGGTGGGCTGGAGAGTGTTAAAAGGAGGGTAGAGGTCCCCTGAGCCTTTGATGAACCAACCTGACTCATAAGATGGTTGTATTTGTCTGAGAAGCAAAATATTATCCAGGGGTACCAGGTGCACCAAATATTTTATCTTGGTCATAGAGTGATTTCGTTGAGGTCTTCCATGTTGCAGAATGTATTTTGTTCCCTGCACCAGTCTTGTATGGTAAGTGTGATGGATAGTTTGCATAATTTTGGGCTGGTCATTTTGACCGTAATAATTAGATGTGAGTAAGGACTTTTCATACTTATGCGGGTCTAGGTTATCCAGATGTAGGAGGAAGAATGGGGGGTCATCAGGGGGTTGTGTGCCAGTTATATTGACAATAATGGAGAGAAGTGCCTGCCAGAAGGGTCTGATGATGTCTAGTAATCTTAAACGGACTATTGTCTTACAAGCCCTTTCTCTCCTAATAATTATAAAATAATTACTGAATCAGTCCTAATTAATATCCTGAGCCTTGTCCTCGCCATTGATGTTTACTATATGTTCATTTTGTGTCTCTTGCAGATTCTGCAATGGTTTGTACAGATGTGCCTGGCAGTACAGCATATTCATGAGAAACGGGTCCTACACAGAGATATCAAGTCCAAGGTAAGTTCTGTAATATGTCCTGGCTTCAATCATATATATCCACTTTATTGCCAAAAGTTTTGGGACACCCCTCCAAATCATTGGATTCAGGTGTTCCATGAAATTTCCTTGCTACTAAATATTTCACGGTCAACTGTTAGTGGTATTATAACAAAGTGGAAGCAACTGGGAACAAAAGCAACTCAGCTAAGAAGTGGTAGGCCATGTAAAATGACAGAGCGGGGTCAGCGCATGCCGAAACGCACAGTGCGCAGAAGTCACCAACTATCTGCAGAGTCAATAGCTACAGATCTCCAAACTTTGTGTGGCCTTCAGATTGGCACAACAACAGTGCACAGAGCGCTTCATGGAATGGGTTTCCATGGCAGAGCAGCTGCATCCAAGCCTCACATAACCAAGTGCAATGCAAAGCAATGGATGCAGTGGTGTAATGCACACACCGGCGCTGGATTCTAGAGAAGTGGAGACGTGCTCTCTGGAGTGATGAATCACGCTTCTTTGTCTGGCAATCCGATGGACATGTCTGGGTTTGGCGGTTGCCAGGCGAACGGTATGGGATGCCATTAATACATGTGCGTGTAAAGGCAGGTGTCCCAATACTTTTGGCAATATAGTGTAGTTAGTATTGAAAGTTACTGTGTTAAGATGAATTACCTGCAGCCTAAATTACAAATTTACCAGTATACACCATTTGTATTGTTATCCCTAGCTAACTAATACAAACAGTTGGGTCCACATCCATACACTTCTGCCTATCATTATGCTTCCATGGAGACTTGAGTAAAATTCTATCAATGCTTACCATCATTTTATTTTCCTGATATGTCTCCATAGCAGCATACTGACAAATATTTTTGGGCAAAGAAACTACCCATTAGGATGCTGCCATGGAAACATAAGGAAACACATTTTTTATGGTGGAGTGGGAAGGGTTAGAACCTCTGTCTGGTTCTAAACCTTGGACTTTAATACATAGATTTTTGTGCATGTATACAACTAAAAATCCCCCCAAATCTGTGAACACTAGTTTATGTTTTCTAAGTTTACAGATGTAAACATGGAAGAATCTGAAAAATGTAGACAACTGGTCATTTATGTAACAATTTTTGTGCCATTCACATGTTCTTTATATGCAGAATATTTTTCTAACACAAAGCAGAAGAATAAAGTTGGGAGATTTTGGATCAGCACGTATTCTTAGCAGGTATGTGTCTTACTATGGTCACAATGTAACGCCATTGATATCATGTCAGAGAACTATATGTTCTATATACTATATGTTGAAAATGTCAGGCATACAGTATGCATTACACAAAGAATGAAAGCTCCATCAGAGCTTTGGATAGTTTACAGACTGGGTCTTATGTACAGTTACCCTTAAGGTCTTAAAGTCTTGGCAATAATTAAAAAAATCCTGAATCTACCAACTTTTCCTTTTCACCACTGCAATTTCCAGGATTATTCAATTTTCTTTTGGAGAAATCATAATAATGTGTTACATGACTTTTACAAACTTGCTGGCAAATATCTAAAACTGGTACAGAGGATTTTTGTTTTATTTGAGTGCTTGTTTCTTAACTCATTTAACACCCAATTGTCTCTAACCATACCCAGACCTGGTCACATTGCTAGACAAAATGGGTATTGCATGGGATTGGAAGCATAATGAAGTGATATAGCGAGGGTTAATCTGAAACTAGGAAACAGCATGTGGAAGTGATAATTGTGCAGCATTGGTTGAAAGGTTCCCTGCATGCTGGGGGATCTTTATTATCAATAAAGAACTATACTGTGTTGTTTACTGCACACATCCAAAAAAATGGCAACCTGGAAGAAAAATGGCAGTGCCTCAAATGTTTGATGATCAGAAGAAAGACAGGAAGCTCTGGGCTCCTTTTCTGAAATGTGCCTGTCCACTAGCTTTAGGATATAGGGTGTATTGTGGTGTGAATGAGCTAAAAACAATAGGATGCACTATATCACCACTCAGTGGCGTAACCAGAGTTATGGGCGCCCGGGGCAGAAATTTATTTCGCCCCCCTCTCCCCATTATATAAACATCCACTGGAACTGTACCCCACCCCCACACATGTTTTTTTTTAATTTTTTAAAATATTTTATTTTAATTTTTTTAATAAACTTTTTAATTTTTTGTAAATTAATTGTTATTAATTCATTTTGTATTAAATATTTGTATTTTTTACGTTACTTTTAGGGGTTTCGAGGAAATATTAGGGGTCTAAACAGACCCCTGATATTTCCCTTTTTAAAATAGAAAAAGAGATTGAGAACACAGAATCTTCTGTATCCCCTGTTATCAATGAACAGGAATCCTTTATAAGTGTTCCTGTTCATTGATAACATAGTATGTTTACTATAACCACAATTATGAATGAACAGGAGGAGATGCAGATCACTTCCCATTCATTCATAATTGAGGATACAGTAACCATACCATGTCCTCAATTGTCTACAAACACTCATCGATCACAGATCACTGAGTGTTTGCTCTCACTCTCCTCTCTGACACACTGTCACAGGAGGCTGAGCGAGCAGTGCACAGAGGAGAGCCCAGCCTCCAGTGACAGTGTGGGCTGTCTCTGCCCCCACACCGCTCTGCCAGACTGTGATAGGCGGCTGAGCAGTGTGTGGGAGGAGAGACACCGGCCGCTCACGGCGGTCTCCTCCCGCAGCGCTCGGCCGGCTGTCACTTTCTCTCCTCCCCGCTGGGACACAGAGCAGCGCCCAGCGGGGAGGAAAGAAATCACGGCTGCATCGACAAAACGGCAGGAAAATGGCACTTTCCGCATTTAGCCAGATGTGCCATTTTCAGCCGGCGCCCCCCTTCAGCTTCACGCCCGGGGCCAGCGCACTGGCTGCCCCCCGGGTTGTTACGCCAATGTCACCATCCTATCAGACAAAGAGGGGCTGATAAGTGAGACAGTTTTGCTGTGAATATACAGTATAGTGGGTGAGCTAAGCACAGAAAGTCAATGGCATACAGTTTTATAGAAAAAAGAAATGTAATAAATATATAAATCTTGATTATTGTAATGTAAGCTGTCAGTCTAAATTCTATTTGTCCCACTTTTTCTTTTTGTTTAGTCCGATGGCTCATGCATGCACGTACGTTGGCACACCCTATTATGTGCCACCTGAGATTTGGGAGAATGTACCATATAATAATAAAAGGTAAGTGTTATTGCCAGTGCAGTTCTAGCAGTTTACGTACATGTATTAAACAGCATTAATGATGTCCTTGTCCATAAAGCTCTCATTTTAAAAATGAGTTTACATGGATTAAATGTATGCTTATCATCTTTACTGGTTCTTGGGACAGTAGACAGTGAGACAGTGAGACAGTGTAGTAAGGCCAAGAGCAATTGTGTTATTCTAAAACATCCTACCTGTTCTTATGTTGGGATGGGGTGATCCTCATTGGGATCCACTAAATTTCTAGTCTGGTAGAGGGCATTCACAGCACTTTATCCTTCTCTTCTTCTACCATTGCAGAATATGATCACAACACCTATACTGCAATTTGTACCAGTGTTGTGGTAATCTACAAGGACATTATATATAATTCAATAAAGCAGTAGAATGGGTACTACTGATGTGCAAAGTGCAGTATCCCAAATTGATTTCAGTTAAGTGAAGTGAGAACATTGAAAAATAACATTGAATAAGCCTGGATGTATGATACTTAAGAAAATCAATACTCATTATGGGTTCCACAAATACTTCCCTAGCTGCCATCTATCCTTCTTCCCCCGATCCTAATCAATGACCATGTCACCGGTCACACATTCTAACGTAGTGACAACCTTTGATAGAACACCGCCATCAGGGGGGTATGGCCGGGTACCCATGTTAGCGGTCTGGGGGCCTCTTACATGGGGGGTATCAACTATACCGGGGCGGCATGGCAGAGGTGACAGGGGAGGGGGTGGAGGAGGCCGGGCCCCAGCAGCAGCAGGTAAGAGGAGGTACAGGGAAAGGGATCCTGATGACCAGACCACCTGGGACCCTGCAGAGCCCACCATAGAGAGTCTCAGGTGGGCTATGCAGGATCTATGGTGTGCTCTGCAGGGTCTCAGGTAAGTCCAGCACGCTACTGCAACATTAGAGACTGCTGTGGGGGGGCGGATGCCAGTGTGATCCGCTCCAGCGCCCCCCTCGTCTTGGGAGGGGGGCCCAAGATAAAGATAAAATCTTGCACCAGGGCCCTTTGGTTATTAGGTCCGCCACTGCTAATCAATCATTACTAGTAGATCCCTCCTATAACCTGGCCTGTTATGTTTTAACCTCTGAAGCCTGTAGATACACAACCTTTGGCGCCTAAAGTATTTTAACTTATAATATAGGTACACGTTAGCCAGTTATTTTACAGGGAAATGCTGCCTCTATCATCTATAGGCATACACCTACTGTGCCTAATGGTAATGAGTCCTGCCTAACACACTAGTGTTGCCCCACAATTTCCCCCATGAAAATAGGGAAGATGGCAGCAATCTGCCCACAATGCCAATTTTCTACCCCTCGTCTCTTAATTCAAATGAAGAGGAATGTCCTCTTGAGTAGAATATACTTCTTTATGGACCTACAGGCCGAATAAGCTGCCTGGTAACACTCAGACTGTGCATGCATGACCAACAGTACTCAGGCATGCTACATACACCAAAAAAAATCTATACAGTATACAGGGCATCCATAGCACATGCTGTCCCTCTCCCCCTACTAGCAATCACCCTGCCGCTTTTACAGGCAATTTCTGTCAGTCCAAATGAGTAACCTAGCAGGGCTTGCTGCCACTACTGTCAAAAACAGATCTTTTGAACAGTGTTTGTAAACACTGACCATAAGACTGACTCAGAAATACAATAATTGTTACATTGAATTTCCTCTTTTCTATTCATATGATTCAGAGGGTGACGTATAATCTGCATATAATGGCTCTTAAAAAATCCCTTTAAGAAAAAGGATTTAACCCCTTAATAATCACCAGCTAATTCTAATCAACCCTAATGAACTCCTTCTCCCCTTAGTTATTCTTCTGCTTTTTTTCTTTAAACCATTAATAAATAAAAACATTTATTTGTTTTTTATCAGTTTCATTCATTAAAAAATTCACAAAATTCAAAAAAAGCCTTTCATTTCATTTGTAAATATTTTTGCAATGATTTGTACCAGAATCATAATTTTAGTGTCATTAAAAATGAGTCAGATTGTAGAATTAGTCAAATTATATAATAAAATACTTTTTACTAAACACTATTTTTTGAAAAGTAACACTGATCAAAGCAGAAATGTAAAAATTGCTCTACTACTACTACTATCATCATAAGCTATATACTATATGTACTAGAGCTTATGTCACGTATCCTCATTGCATACTGAATTTTTTTTCCATACCCCCTCTGCACAAGCCCTAAAATACAGTTTTTAATGGTAACAATGGTTCTAGCCGTTGCTGATATATATATATATATATATAAGGTGCAAACTCTAGAACCTCCTGATCCTGCCTACTTCTGGCAATTTTGTACCACCACTACTTCCCTATTTATTTCTGTGACTCTCCATAATTCTCTGCAGCTTTGTAGCCTATAACCATAGAGGAGCAGTGCTAGGGTCACACAGAGGTATGACATAAACAATGTCCCATATGCACTTCATTACCCCTCTGCCCACCATACACGGTTAGACATGCACCCCAAAGGACTCTGCAGAACAAGCACCGCAGCACTCCCTCCCAGGGTCAGTAACTGACATCATTCTTCAAACACTAAGACACTATTATTTTATCATAATTCATTTTAATAAACTATACAGCTTCATTTCTACACATCTCATCGCAGTAATCCCGTTCTCTGTTTCAGTGATATCTGGTCATTGGGATGTGTGTTATATGAGATCTGTACTCTAAAACATCCAGTAAGTAGCACTTTTATTTCATTTTTTTTACATATTATAGAAAATGCTTTGTTTTGGGGTATTTTGATTTAATGACAAAAGCTGAATCTTAATATAAGGGTTGGATTTATTTACAAATTGGGACATACATAATCTCTAGTTACAATTAAGGACTACGGATAGGGAGGTGAGTATAGGAATTGGGGTCTTGATCATTTTGCTAGCACCATCATTCTCACTAATCCATGCCAGGGCCTTTTTCTCTCTCCTTGGAAAACTCCCAGCAAGCGTGTCCCATCAAATTGTTTTCTTGCTTGCAGAGTCCAGAAAGACGTGTCCTAGAGGTCATGAAGGGTTACCACTGTTCGTGTGTGTGTGTGTGTGTGTGTGTGTGTGTGTGTGTGTGTGTGTGTGTATTGAAATATTGAAATACTGTGATTTATAATTATCTATGTACATGTGAGCAGTCCTTTTGATTGGCAACTTGAAAACAACAACAGATTGTCTGCAGTAATGATCGGTAGCCAGAGACCATGTACCCTGGGCTACCCAAGAACTGAGAAATAGCTGCTTTTTCATGGAAGTGAAAAGATGAAAATGTCATGGTTATACTGACATGTCAGTCAAGAGAAGTCAAGAGAAGACTTACACAGTCAAGAGAAGTGTGAATTTTTAAATAACAGTTGCTTAAACTTTGAGCGGCCACAGCTGCTGGTACAAATTTAACACAATAGTGGTGAATGGTATACTAGTGTTGGTTGGGCTCATGGATCGGCTTGAAAACATAACCAGTGACATAAACTACATTTAGTATGAAAGAGAGCTTCCTAGATACCTTTGTCAATTATATCACATTCATAAAATAAAATTGTATCCATTAAATAATCTCTGCTTGTTTTCTGGTTTACAGGATGCGTATAGTTTAGGTGGTACCACAAGTGCAGGCTCAAAATCCATTCAAGTCCTCATTAAAAGGAAAATGTTGTTATCTTTAGTTTGTTCATTGAATATTAACATAACCCCAGAAATATGTTGGAGACAATAGAACCCTTCCTTTAGTTTTATGGTTTCTCCATGGTTCTGACACACACTATTAGGGGTTTGAACTGTTCCTTTGTGTAGCCATGCCTCCATAGCATGTCATGGGTGATTAAGCCCTGATTCATACTTACCAAGTAGGTGCGATTAGGGATTCCTGCACCAGGAACTTGTGATTTCCTACAGCAGGAATCCCTAATCTGCCATTTATAAGTGGCAGCTCAGCTGTCTCCTGTTCAAGTTAAAGACCAGGTGACAGCGGTTGCATCTGAAAGCAGCAGAATGCTCACACACCACATGTAATCGTATGTGATAAGATTACATGCAGTTAGGAATCAATCACTAATTCTGGAAGCATCTATTCTGTGTCCAGGGATAGTGATCTCTTCCTAACCGCATATAATCATATCGCACACGATTACATGCAGTGTGTCAGCATTCTGCTGCTTTCAGATGCAGCCGCTGTTACCTGATCCTGCCCTGCTGCAGGAATTCCAAATCGCACCTACTTGGTAGGTGTGAACGAGGGCTAAGTCTCATAAAACATTTGCCTCATGACAAAAAGCTAGATCCACTCATTCTGCATAAATCATTGTCCTGTGCTTGTCAGAACCGGATTGCTGTGGTGCAGCAGTATTCTTATTTTAGACCCTTTCCTAACTTAGGTCAGCTTAGCAATGTATATTTTGTAACAGCACCAAAAACGTACACCTACACCTTACTGTAGCTCATAAATTTAACTACAAACTAATATTCTTTTTTCTCAAGTTCCAGGCAGGAGGCTGGAAAAATCTAATACTGAAGATTTGCCATGGATCTTACAGTCCTCTCCCCTCACTATACTCCTATGAACTGCGTAGTCTCATCAAACAGATGTTCCGCAAAGACCCACGACAGCGGCCTTCCGCCAATACCATTTTGACCAGAAGAGGTCTACTGAAAGTGGTCAAATCTACTGTGGTTACACAGGTAAAGATATTTTGCTTTACTTTAAGGAAATAGTTTTTTTGCTTTAGCAAGAGGTCAGCTTTTCCATTGTATGGGTCTCCTTTGGAGACATTTCCCCTCACTTTCAGTCCTGAAAGGAAGTGTGGAGAATCTCCTCAATGACGACAGCAACTACAATCAAAATCTGACTGGGATTTACAATACAATACATGCCTGATAAAGGGATCTTAAGTGGCCCCGAAACATTGCCTTACTTGTGACAAGATGGATATGCGTCCATAAAGATGTTTATTGCACACTTGACCTTGGTGTGCTGGTCAAATGATATAAGCACCCGTGGCTTAGGGCATGCAGCTAATTCAGCCAAATGTAAAACTGTTGGCAGAGGACACAGAAGAATTCTATTGACTGTAAGATGAAACAAATTGTCAAAGCCTATTTTAAATGACATTGCAGGAAACTCTGATTTTAAACCAGATGTGCAGAGATAATTGCTGTGTGCAAAATGTAATGTAATATAGGTAGTGTGTATGGTAGTGTACTGGTGATGTGCGTGCATTTGGTAAGAAACTGTTATTTGCAAGTGAATTAATTATGTACTACTTTAATAGACAGATGATGAGATGCCTGAAAACTACCCACAAGATGAACTGACTTCAGCTATTCAGCACATAAATGAACCATCAGCACCTCTGGAAGACGGTATAAACATAATTTATGTGTAGTAGAACTTTAGTCCTGAATGTACTATCATTTTAAGAGCCCCATTTGTATTGCAACAATGTATTTCTCATTGCGTCTCATATTGTTTTTTACCTATAGTGTTTATTTCTTGTTAGGCTAAGAAGATTTAATGATAGCGATTGCAGGAGAAATAATTTTCTCATATATCACAATAATGTGATTTAATGGTAGTGATAATTCCTGTTGTATTTAATGTTGTCTGTTTTTTTGTTGTTTTTTAAATCATCAACTCAAAAGTGATAGTTTTAGGTAAAGGTGAATCTTTTAAGGCTGCCCCAGCCCCTGGCTTCTTTTATTGTTCAGATACTCCAACAATAAGGTCCCATTCACACCTGTAAATTAGGCTGGATCTCTGAGTCCCATGAATTCCTTGAGACTTCAACAATCTCCTGCAGGCAGGAGGGACTATATAATCCAATGACAGTTGGCACCTCCTGCAGCTGTTTGTAGCCTGTTCACATTTAATTGCACATGCTGCGATTACCTGCCAGCCACCACACCTGCATGCATGTAGTTTTCCGGGGGTAGTCGCAGATTGTGATTACTTGCAAGGAAAACCTGTGAACAGTTGCAGGTGGTAAGAGCTGTCATTAGATTATACAGTGCCTCCCACTCACAGCACATGAGTCTTATGGAGAAAGTCATAAGACTCAGTGATTTTTAAATCTGCAACTTTCATTAAAATAATACCTGGCTACCCGGCCATGAAGGTTCTTGTTTGGACACTTCCTCTTATAGGGTGACAATGCTCTGCTCCTGTCTTCCAATTGTGATCCTGTCACATGGGCTTCTAATGGAGACTACAAGTGGCCTTTTTAACACCTACTACTCAGGTATGGTTCATTGTTTTCACTATTAGAACACCCGCCCTCGAGAAATGTAATCGTTGGAGTGCATGTAGCTACAAAGCGACTACAGGAGATCAAAAGCAATGAGATGCAACAAAGAGTGCAAAAATGGTAAAAACTCATTTTTTTAAAATAATCGTTTATATGATACACAGTGCTTTAGCCAACTAAATGTTGGTTAGACTTCATATGTACTTTAAAGTTCTGTTACTGAGCAAAGCGTACATACAGATGCTGTAGAGTAATGCCATGGACTCTGAACATTATGGAACTGTATAAATAACTGATGGAACAGTATTGTGCCATAAAAATATATACACACATATATATATATACACATATACATTCTGTTCTCATACAGCACAGCACTCCAAACCTCTCTGTTCAGGAAGGCGACATTGGAAGAAGAAACCCACAGACACAGTTGTAAATATTCTGGAGGATGCCACCAGCCTCACATCAAGTGTAGAGGCTAACAGAAGTGTGGGTAAGTGGGCTTCCAAAAGGTTTGTATTTCTGTCCATCCAGTCCTGATATATACACAGCCCCATCATACAGCACAGGACAGAAGACCTGATTTTTCTCTGCTGCAGTTTAGTTACCATTACAGGTCTTGTTCCTCACCCAGCCTGTGACTGGAGAGTAAAAAGAGAGGCAGCATAATGTTAATGTGCCCATACTCTGGCCGAATTGCAGCCGTTTTTTAATGTACCGGCCGGAATTCGCACAGTGTGTGAGGCTGTCGGCTCCCTTTCAGCCGGCATTCCTCGATCAGCTGATCAATCTTTGTACGATCAGAGCGGGCGGCCAATGAGCTGCCCTCTCTGATCGTGTACTCTGACAGGGGCCGGCAGCGGTGATTCCTCGATCGACATGCTGTTTGTGTTGATGGAGGAATTGGGTCAGTTTTATTTTCATTCAGCTCGTGGTTTGAATGAAAAAAAATTGATAGGTATATGGCCAGCCTTAATGTCTCTGTCAATCTGCTATCTCCTCTTATCAGCACGTTCCTTGTTAGCACATGAGCACTTCAGCACAACTGACTGGCTCCTTGTGCTGCTTCTTCATTTCCCAGTTTGAGCTCTGCTGTACAGGGGATTACAAGAGGCTCTTATCAGGTCAGATTCAAGCACTAACACTACTTGCATTTAAAAACATACTTACACACACAGAGCTGCATTCGTTTTTGTCAGTCGTATGGAGAATTGTCTCACAATTGTTTTAAAATTGTCGCAAACCTCCTGGAGGACAGCTGAATAGCCCTGAATGCTTAGCTGACTTGAGGGTATGAAGTTGAATTATCTTTGCACTACTTTAGTAAATGCTCAGGAGGACTTGAATGTGCGACAGTTTGGAGGTCTTTTAATGTTGCAAATGCTGAACGCAATTACTGTGCAATTGAGCGATTATGTGAAATGGAAATATCGCAAACATTCTTATGTCACAAGAACACTGCAAAAAAGACACATAACATAGAGATCATGCTGCGGTTAGTTAGCATGATATTTTGGTCTTTGCGATTAGAACATTTTGTGGCGTACACAATTTTTTGTGGCATTCATAAATTCCCCCATTACATTTTTCAAAAAGTGTTCATAATTGGTATTTTTGTAATCTATTAATATTGAGAACATAAGAACTGTGTCCCACGTGGCTTGATTATAGTTTGTTTATAGTTCCTTGGATCTCAGCTTTTATTCTTTTGGCCATGTACTATAACTTCTAAGAATGTCTCCCTAATACACTGCTGTGTTCTTGGCCCTGTGTCTAGGTGGAGATGTTATCAAATATGAACTGAAGGAGCTGAGAAAGAAGTGGAATAAGGAGACGTCTGAATCATTGCTTAACATCCTAAATAACGCTGATCTCACCACAGCATTTCAAACGTACACCATCTATAAGGCAAGTAAGTGGGATATCAGTTGATACTGTATTATGGACTCATTTGCACATATTTTTCTCTTATACTGTTTATATAGAGCTAATTTACAACATTATCGGGTCAGTTTGTATCTAGAAAAGGATAAACTACTAAGTTCCAGTCTGGTCACTGTGTAAGCCTATATTCCTTTGTGTATTTGAACACTTAGCACTCCTATAAAGTGACACTAAACTCACTTGAGAAACGCTGCCCTAAACTGTAGATATTATAATTATTAGCAGGGGGTTTCCTGAAATCTAAACATTTTTAGGGGTTCCTCTGTGGTAAAAGAGTTGAGAGAAACTGCATTACAAACATGGGGCTCCTTGATGGATTTGCTGTGGGACCCCATCACACACAATTTCCCAGCTCTGCATTCTATTAAAGATAAATAAAAAAAATACAGCTAGATTTTGGCTTACAGTGAAACTAAACTCAGAAGTTAAATCTTAAGAATTCAATCAAGTACCCTAACTATTAAAACTGTATCTTATTTGTGCTACATTTAGCTGTAGATCCTCAAATCATCTCTGATTTGGCTCTGACACTGTCCTTCCTTCTGGAGGGTGACTACTTTTGTTCCCCATGATCCCTGTGTGTGTTGTTAAGTAGTCACCGCTCCAAGCTCACTCCTGTGATGGACTACAATCTCATTTTAGTTTACTAATTTGTATCGAGATTGTAGTAGCGTTAGTAGTAGCTGTAGTAGATTGTAGCATAGCCAATTTGTGTATGTACATGTGGGAGCCATATTTTTTCATTGAGAAGCAGGTTCTGCATCCTGCGTTAGAGTGCTACAATGGTTGTGCCTCACTGCTCCTTCTCACAATGCAAGTCTAAGGCCTGGTTCACACCTGGGCGTTTTACAGCGCGTCCCTACGCTCTGTAAAACGCTCAACATGTGAAAACCAATGATTGTATGGGCATGGTTCCCACCTGGGCGTTTTACAGTGCGTAGGAACGCGCTGCAAAACGCCCTACACCCAAAGAAGTACAGGTGCTTTTTTTGTTACCACGAATCACGTAAAAACGCGCGTCAAACAAGCATATTCGATACGCCTAGGTGTGAACCCAGCCTAAGAGTCCACTGCCTAACTGAAAACAATGCACTCCCTGTGTGCCTGATATCTTATCTCCACAGCTGGTAAGTAGTGAGGTTATATGAGCCTGAGAAAAATACTGAGCTTTGTTTAATAGTTATTGTACAAAACTCTATAATTAGTATAACAAAAATCTATAAAAGCAAGCATTAAAATCAGGGATACAGGGTACCGATACCGAGTATTTGGGCGAGTACCCGTACTTGCCCAAATGCTCATGATATTTATTCCGATACTGGAACTTCTGGTATCAGGAAGCCGGACGGCCAGTCATTACACACTGCCCGGCTTCCTGATTGGGTGGGAAGCCTGTTCCATGCTCCCTCGTCACCAGGGAGCATGGAGCTGGCTTCCCAGCCAATCGGGAAGCGGGGCGGCATGTAATGACTCGCCGCCCGGCTTCCTGATTGGCCAGAAAGCCGGCTCCATGCTTCCTCCTCACCTGGTGGTGAGTGAGCATGGAGACGGCTTCCCGGCTAATCAGGAACCTGGGTGGCGATTCATTACACGCCGGCCAGCTTTCCAGCTATTCGGGAAACTGGGCGGTAAGTCATTACACGCCACCTGGCTTCCTTATCAGTATTCTGGGACTTCCGGTATCGGTATTCGGTATCGGCGAGTACCGGAAAAAAATATCGGTACTCGTACTCGATACAGAAAAAACGGTATTGGTGCATCTCTAATTAAAATGTTATCATATCAACAGTTTGACCTGCTTTAGGGTCTTTATTTGGCTGTCTTCATTTGTGAGGTTGGATCATCAAGTTTACAGGTACCTTTTAGTTGGGGGTTAAGGAGATGGAGCTGTTCGATTGCTTCTCCCATACGTCATTGTGCAGGTGTTCCATAGACATAAGACTGTTGCCTTATTCATCCTAAAAGTGCAACTCTAGTGGAAAATCCACAGGAAAGCTTTTATTGCAGAAGAGGTTCTATATGTCTCTTGTCCAATAAATGTATCCTACCTTCCTGCTAGCAAGTCTCTGAATATTGTACACCGATTTGCGCATGCAGAGACGAAGATGTTATACCCAGAAGATGTCAGCTGTGGTGGGGGAGTTTGAGGATGCTGTATCACTGGAGGAGAGGTAAATAGTGAAGACCTTAGTTTTGTTTTAAACAGCTTACTCAAGCTCCGGTAATCTCTTGTCTACAGGTAGATTAGGGCCATAAAATTGACTAATCTTGAGTACTATCTATCTTACTATGGTCATAAACTATACTCTAAGATCTTCTTTTTCTGTCTATGTAACAAAGAACCTTCAGAAGAATGTCTGAAGGGACCACTGAGCAGTGACATTCCAGGACCAGATGCCACAGACAGCAGAGAGGAGGAGATTGCCGTAGATCCTGAGAGATTGCAGCCAAGATCTGATGATGAGGACACGTAAGTTATGCATGTTCTCCAGAGACCGCACCATGCAGAGCAGTGACATTCAGCAACCCATGGCATTTATTTAGAAACCAGCTACCATTACAATAAGGCCCAATTCACATTGAGCGATTCGCAAATCGCGCGATTTGCATTCTGCGCGATAAACGCGCAATATCGCGCAAATGCTTGCATTGAGCAAGCTAGAATCGCGGCAAAATCCGCTCCAAAAAGGGTCCTGCTGTAGCGACGCACGACCCGCGACAGCGACGGACAGAGCACCATTGAGATGCATTGGAGAGCGATATGGCGTGGTAAATAGCCACGATATCGTGGGAATTACCGCACGATAAATCGCTCAGTGTGAATGGGGCCTAACACTTTAGGTAGTGAAGCAAGCAACCCCAGAAATCTCACCTTCAAAAACAAATGAACATTGGCAGCACCTATATTTACATCCTGACAGGTCCTCTTATTGGTAAATGGAGTGGATTTTGTATACTTTGGATCAGTCACTATGTTTCTTGGATAGTGTTAGCAGTCAACTGATAGACTCTACTTGTTTGAGTTACTTTTTAAGTCTTCAGATGCTCTATAATCCTAATGCTGGGCTTATGACTTTAGCATAATATACAGCATTTTCAGTGTACATTCAGAGGTAACTGACATTTGTATTCTTTCACCCTGCAGAGACTTTGAAGAGGAAGATGTGGACACAGACTGGCTATCAGAGCTGAAAAGGGCAACAGAGGCTCAATATTAAAGCAGATCTATACAAAAGTAGTGAAGAAGTAGTAACGAAATTCTGTTGTGTAGGGCAGGGAGGTAGACACTTACTTGTTTTTCCCTTGATGAAGGTTTTAGTGTTTTATTTAGGTATCTATATACCAAGATGCTGCTTCAAGTACAGAAAATACATGTTGAATTGCCAGAAATCCATCGTGCTCCTTACTTCCTAACAACATAGTGTGTTTGCCGGACCGAAATCCAAACCAGCGTTGTAAGTCCTGCCTGCTGGAGCACATAACTTTGCTTATCTCTCTGCCCCTCTGCACATGCATACATTGATTTGTATCCCAGCAAAACAATGTAACCTTGACTCTCTAGTGCCTGCCCACACGCTGTGTGTAGGGAAAGGCCTCTTGGGAGTTGTAGTTCTGGGGGGGGAGGGGGTACCTGCAGGAACTGTGCTCTTAGCAGCTGCCCCTCCAAGAATTTTAAAAGCCTGGAGATGATGTCACAAGGAGTAATTTCCCTACACAAACAAGGTAAAATAAAGAAAACGAATACTGGTACATGATCTAGAGTAGAGGAGGGAGGTTCGGGATTACATTTGGGTAATGTCTGGGTATACACTTCAAGGCTGGTTCTACTCCCATCTTGTTAGCTTGATAGGCATAACAAGTACAAGTAATTTGTGACATATGAATGCTAGCCTTACACAAGTAGATTTCTCTACTTGTTGGGACCTTGTGGTTAAACATAAGAAGTCTCTTAATTCCCTCATCCACGCTGAACACCAGGGATGGAGGAATCTGTACTGCCGGCTATTGTATCCAGGCTGCCACCGACACCTGGGCCTGCCTGAATACTGCAACAGTGACCGCATCTGATGGGATTTATCTGGTCCAGAACTATGATGGGCAGCATTACAAACCAACAGACAGGCATAGACCAAAGCCTAGATTTAGTCGGTATTTCGAAAAGGCTTGCAGGCATCTCTAGGTTTCTGCATTTCATTTACATTTTCAGGTTAGCCACTTAATAGTAGTGACATATTGACTATAAGCAGTATTTAAGGCATGTCTTCGCATTACCCTTGCAAAGTAATGTCAAACCATCATTACTGAGGACAATACCTGTCTTCCCAACCATCTTTTTGTATGCTCAGAAGCTCAGCTCATTGCACAACACATGGCAATCTTCTGTCCTCTTGCCACTAAGCAACTGAAAGCTGACAGGATATGGCACCTGGAAGTTTCCGAGTGGCTGGAGGACCAGATACCCTCTATACCTGTTTTTTATTCTTTACATCTACAGCAGGAATCTGAATGAAGGAGCTTCAGACTGGACAACTTGTAGGCCAGTTTGAATAGAGAACTATGGGCACACCTTTTTTGGCCATAGTTCTCTTTAGGATCATAGGAGGACATATGCTATGTCTTCCTGTGGCCCAAAGCTCAGCATATAGCAGGCTATATTCTCCTTTAAGCACAGGAAAACAAGATCTTTTTCTTTCTACCTAAACCCTTAGCCCTCGTTCACACCTAAACGTTTTGTAGCGCGTTCTACGCTCGAAGAACGCTCTACAAAACGCTCAAAAATATAAATTGCATTGGAGTCAATGGACTCGTTCCCACCTTGCCGTATTTCCGCCCGTCCCGAACGCGCTACTGAAAAGGTACAGGCACTACTTTGGGCCGTTTTGTAGGGCGTTTCCATTGGAATACAGCCAAGTAGCCTTTGGAATCGCGCGACGGTCGCGCGTCTTTTTTACCGCGAATCGCGGTAAAAAAACCGCGCGACAGACGCGCTTTTGCAATACGCCTAGGTGTGAACCCAGGCTTAGAGTTTCTTTCCGCAGCACTCCAAGCCTTAGTGCAAATAAATGAAATGCTGTTACAGTAGCTATACCATTATTGTCATTTATAAATACTTCAATTTGTTACATTTTCTGCTGGTTTTTACTGTTTTTTAAAGGTAACAATTTTGAATAAATAACAGCTATGATAAGAAAACGTTGTTCATGCTGTCCATTATTTGTACAAAAAGAAAAAAGGTTAGTCATCATAATGTTATCATAATGTTATATCAATGTTCAGCATAATGTCATCCTATTGTTTTCATGCTTTTTGAATCCTCCTCTATACATAAAATGTGTGTTTATTTGAAAAATGGTTAAAAAAAACAAAGTTTTTATTGGTATATAGCAGTTAAGGAGAAAAATAAGTTATAACCAAGGCTTTATAGCAGAATTCCAAGCACAAATTTTATCAACTAGTACCCCCAGGACCGTAAATTACCTTCCCTGCCGCCCCAAGGCCGGGTTCGGCAATGATCCCCAGTAGATGAACACTTTTTTTTTTTTTACTTTTCAAAGTATTTTATTGATTTTTGACATTTTTACAAGGAAATAAAAAAGATGTAACATTTATACATAAGCGTTTACATAGACATATGCATACATTATAGTCTTATGCATGTACATGCACAGTGTAACAAAACTGAACTGACAGTCTTGGGACTACCCGATCGGTAGCAATGGTAATATATACTCAAAACATCTCTAGGTGACTGTCCGAAGATCTCAATAAAACAAAAAGATCCAGCGGATCATAAGGTGGGTCTGGGGGAACTGAGCAAAGAGGGGGAAACAGTGGGAAGGGGAAAGAGCGGGGGAGAGGGGAAAAGAAGAGCGCTTCCTACAGGCTTCTGTGGTGAGGTCTAAATATGATGTATGTATATTTGGGTATATTTGAGACAACCTATCGTTAAAGGGACACAAGCTGCCTATCAAAGGATGGAGGGAGGAAGTGAGTAACCCACGGGTCCCAGATTTTCTCAAATTTAGGCATGGAGTCCTGCACGCGTGCAGAGAGCTTCTCATTGTAAAACGTCCAATGTATTTTATGCTTGACTTCTGATAAGCTTAAGGATTGTGACATCCACGCCCTGGCTATTGTGCGTTTAGCTGCCGACAGTACATGTAACATTAGTTTGAATTGTAGGTTAGTGAGGCCCGACGGTTTGACATTGAGGAGAGCTTCCTGTGGGGTTGGTGAAATATGCTTACCCATGGGTACAAAAATAATCTGAAAGACTCTGCGCCATAGTGTTGCCACAACCGGGCACGACCACCACATGTGAATATATGTACCCTGTCGCTGCATCCTCTCATACAAAGGCCATCACAATCCGGCACAAAGTGTACTGCCTTTGTAGGCACTATATACCAACGGAGAAGTACCTTATAGTTGGCCTCAAGGGTCAGAGCATTTTTGGAACATGACTTGGTACTTTCCCCCACATGTCAACCGTGAAGTCGAGAGCTGCCTGCCAGCGGTCCATATACATGTGGTGGGGCGGACCCGTACCGGTTAGTAGAGAAGAGTATAACTGTGAAATCAGACCTGGGGCATGGGGATCTTGGCTACAAACTCTTTCATACGAAGTCATATGGAAGGAGGGAATTGGAAATTTTATCTGTGAGTGGATGAAGTGTTTAATTTGGAGGTACCTAAACATTTCAACAGGGGGTAGGTTATATGTGAATTGTAAGTCCGGGAACGGAATGACTTGGCGTGCTTCTATAAGTTTGTTTATTATTGTTGCCTTATTTAAGATCCAGTTTCTAAATGATAGGGAGGATTCAAGGCCCGGGAGAAACATGGGGTTCCTGAGTATAGACAGTAAGGGGCAATGTGGTGATATTAGTTCACTGGAGTATTTTACAGAGTCCCATATCTTGAGGGAGAGTCGGGTGATTGGATTGGTTAGAAAGGATCTAGCATTTGGGGTAATCCACAGGAGGTTGTCTATAGCAATGGGGTCGCAGTCCATCGCCTCTAGGGAGACCCACAAGGGAGACTCACCATTCGCGTGGTATTTGGCGATAGTAGCAATTTGAGCAGCTTGATAATATTTTTGGAGGTTCGGGACTCCCAATCCTCCTTCTGGCCTGCTGTGGTACATCACCTTCCTGGGAAGGCGAGGTTTCTTATTAGACCATATAATCGCCGAGAACACTTGTAAAGAAACAGGTGATTTCTCCTATTCTACATTTAGACTTCAAACCTGTGCCGCCCCTCTGCTCAGTGCCGCCCCGAGGCCGGGTCTCAGTGGCCTTGCCTGGGAATCCGGCCCAGTCTACCCCCACACTGCAAGGGTTAACTGCTCTTTTTTGTCAGGAAGCCAGGAAGGTGATGCCACTCTCTGTGTTAGCTTTAAAGAATACAATGGTGTTACCTCCCCACAGGCACCCTGTTGATTGGACAATTAAAGAGCAGCTACACACTGATACATCATCAATTCTACTCACTTTGCTTTCTCCTTCAATCAACATGTTTCCTGTCAGCACATATACAGCATGCAGCACAGATAAGCTATTAATATATGATTGTAAGATACATTGCCAATATCCTGTAATCCAGATTTGACAAATGTATCAAAGCCATTGGAATTCTGTTATTGGATGAGAAGAATTGTTCTGAAGCCATTGAGATGTCAGCTGCCTGTCTTGCAAGAGTCCTAGAAGATTTAAAACATTTTGTAAAAGGGAGCTGCATACTTTTGTATAAACTTAGAAAACAAATGCAACTGGAAGCACTGCTGCTGTTTTCAAGAGGCCGGTCTGACTCATTGCAGTAATGTATGGGGAGCAGCAGAAGAAAGGAATAGAAGTGTTTATGACAAATGAGGCAATTATATTGGACTATCCTGAATTTGTGATTAAAAGATCATTTAGAGCAGTGGTTCTCAACCTGTGTAACCTCAGAACCCACATTTGTCCTTGGTCATTAAGTCACGACCAAAGTTGCACCGCAGTGGAACGCATGGCATCAAGGTAATTGCACATGGAATTGCAGGCGGTACTACATGTTAAAATAAACGACACAGACACCAAAATTTGGAAGAAAAATGGCCGCAGCACTTTTATTGGTTTATTAAGTTTCTTATTTTTTTGACTGTATTTAAATAAAGCGTTACCAGCTTCAAACATCAAACCAACCGTAGATTGCTTAGTCATAAAACTCAAGCAATAAATCAAACATTATAAACCAAACTT